GACGCCAATCTGAGACAGATCTCTTCTGTTCCACTCCATTGGCCAGTCATCGGCTAGCAACTCGACCCTCGTCACAATCTCTCTAACTTCTGCTGCATTTATGTAAGAGCTTTCTCTCGCTTCCTCAACTCCATGGACTGAAAAGAATAACAGCGGCCCAAACTTTGGGTGCGGGGCCTGTTCACTGCGGGCAATCAACTCTTCTCCGTAGAAATTATCAATGGGAAATTGTAGGATGTCGGGATGACTCCGGTAATTTTCTGTCAAAAACATCACGCTGTCACTCAACGACATTTTTTCACAGTAATGATCAAACAGCCTCTCAGGGAGCGATCTTTGAAGACCCCAGTCTCGTGCATAATGCGAGTAAACTTCTGGGCCCATCTGAAACCATAGGTGGGAGTGTGAACAATACATATCAATTTATTCCAGTTAAAGATAACGCAGCTTCCATCGCTACAGTCTACAGTTCTCAACTGCGTGCTTTGCTGGTTTTAACCGACGTATCGCGATATCCAAGTAGCTCAAGAGGAAACAATACAAAGAAAACTAAAGAAATTTATTGTTTTCGGTTGGTTATTGCCGTCTTTTTGTTCAGTTCCGAAACTCGGCAGATTTTGGTCAGTAGAACATGGCCACGACCAAAATTGATAAATCTCTACCTAATATGGTTAGAACTGATAAGTTTCCCAACTAATCCGTTATTTGCATCATTTGTACCACTATTTTTGTGATAATTTGTGACATCGTCACAATAAAAAATAGTGACTGCGAAGGAGATAATCGACTGTTATACCTCGCGAGAAAAATGTAGTTTTCGTCATTGCGATTGATAAAAGACAAGAAAATTAATGATTCAATAGCAAAAGTAAAACAAAAGAAAACAAAGCACAGCAGAACAGAACAAAGCAAACAAGATAAACCGGAATTGGTAATGCTGAAGTTCAGTCCTCACCTGCATGTGGTCTCCTGTAAACACAACCTTCGTATTCGGCCCAGCTAAAGCCAGTGGTATCAACGCCTCAGGCTCCAGGGCTTGGGCAGCCTCGTCTACCAGAATGTGTGTGAAGAAGCCATGGTTCAGTTGCAGTTCGATCAGATGCTTAGACATAGCTAAAGTGGTGATCACAACACGATGTCGGATGACATCATCTCTCGTGGGGAGAACATAGGCGTTGTTTGCTATTAAGCCATACATTTTTCCAACCTCTGAATCAGCATTTAATCTAAAAGAAAAACACGAACAAAAGGTTAATTCTGCACGATTATCAAGACCTAATAAAGTTTTCTTAAGATCAATAACAAAAAATCACCAGATATAGCATGCTAACTTTAGCTATTGTAGCTTGTTGATCGTAACAACGAGAGAGGTGTCCGCCTGATTTACATACTACGGAATTCAGGCGGGCTCTTGAATATCAGGATTAGTAATATTTAACTGAAGAATGGTCCGTATTGGGTTCAAAAAGGCGCACTGACTTTAGAAGATAATCTCTCTGATGCAGTTTTCATTTCGCTGAACAAGGGTACTAGTCATTCTAGGTGAGCAGGAGTTCACAAAAGACGATATGTATAGCTACGGTCTTACCTAGGCTATAATAGGTGACCTTCAGATACACGTACAGTAGCAACACGAGTACAACAGCGACTTTCGAATTTCAATCCAAGTTTGTTCCAGAGACGTCAGTCCCCCCTATTGTTGACCAGTTAAATAGGAAACTATCGGTACGAGACTGGCGCGGTGCATGAAACGTGGTAATCGAAATCAAAAGGACTAAGTTTGTAAAGTACTTCTACTCAAAAGTGAAGGTCCCTAATGGGATTACAAAAGAAACCCCAAAACTGAGCTCAAAAGTAGACGCAGCCGAATTGACTATCGCTCATAAAACACGATGAAGAGTAGAGCAAACATTTTGGTACAGAGTATTTTACCACCAGTGGCGAAGAAGTGTCCCCAGGCGCTAAAATGCGTTTAATGACCTCTCTTTGGTTGGTGTTTAATTTGCGGTCCAAAGGCAGCCAGTTCCAAGGGCGTCTCTCCTTAAATCCAAGAAACAGAACAAATGGAT